CCTAGGTGCTGTGCATCTTCTGGGGCTTTCTATCCTTTACTTGCATTATCTGAAGTGTCTCTGTTGACAGGATATACTTGGATCTTGTTTTTGTCTAGCCTACCAAACTCTGCTTTTCCCCAAATTTCCTAATCCACTGACATTTGGTGTTATTGATAGATGTGGATTTACATTTGCCACTTTGCATTTTGTTTTCTATGTGTCTCCTATCTTTGCTTTTGTTCCTGTACTTCTATACTGTTTTCTTTTGTATGAAATCAGCATTTTCTAGTGAACTGTTTTAATTTCTTTATTGTCTTTTCATTATGTTGTTCTGGATTATTTCCTTAGTTATAGTTCTAGGGAGTACCATATGTGTCTTAATTTGATTAGAATCTATTTCATTCTTGGTCTTTATCAGCTTGGGTTACCATAACAACATACCATAGAATGGGCTTCAGCAATATAAATTTATATCTTAGTAGTAGAGGCTGGGAAACCTCAGGTGAAGGTGTTGCTGATTTGGTTCCTGGTGAGTGCTGTCTTCCTGGCTGGTGACCATCTGCATCACCACTGTCTGCACATGGCAGACCATCTCTCGCCCTCCTTTTTGGTGTTGGGGGATGGAACCCATAGCCTCACACATGGTAAACGCACTCTGCCACTGAGCTACACCCTCAGTCCTCTTTCTTTGCTTCTTGTAAGAGCAGGGATCCCTTGGTAAAGGCCCCACCCTCACGACTTCCTGACCTCATAACCTGAACTCCCTAAGGCTCCATCTTCAAATACGATGACTGTTTAACATACTCATTTTGGGAGGGCAGTAATATTCAATTTGTAAGAGTCTGTTTATATATTTTTAATTGTAATATTTTGAAGTTCTTAATGTGCAGGTCTACATTTTTTTAGATTTATCTGTTTTTTAGGTTCTTGAATTTTATATTTTTTTGATGCTATTTCATATGATATTTTTAATATTATTTTTTGTTTATTGCTCATATGTAGAGATACCATTGAATTTTTATAAATTGATTTGATATTCTGCAACATAATATTTTGGTATTTGTATTTTATTATATTTCATAGTTTTGAGATTGTTTCTCTTTGTATTGCCTAGGATGGCCTCAAACTTGCAATTCTCCCGTCTCAGCCTCAGTAGTAGCTGGGATTTCGGGTGTGTGCTACCATGCCTGGCTAGTTGGTTGCTTTTTTGTAGACTCCCCTTAGATTTTCTCTATGGGTACTCGTGTCTTCTGAGAATAAGGACAGGTTTACTACTTTTTTCCTGTTTCATTCCTTTGGTTTGTTTTTCTTGCCATGTGTACTGGTGTTGATGAAAAGGGAGAGATGAGATACGCTTCTCTTGGTCTTGAAAGCACTGAGTTTGTCACCATTGTGTCCGTGTTAGATATTATTTCCTGGGCTGAGGAAGTTTCCTTGTGTTAGTTTGCTTAGAATTTTTATCAGGATGGATGAAATGCTTTTATGCATCTATGGAGATGATCATATAGTGAATGGTCTTTCTGTTTTAGTTGATGTTAAACCTTTTATGATCAGTCCGTCTGATATTCTTGATTATAGGTGTTCTTAGTATACAGTAATTTTAATGAGCATGTTTTTTCCTCTCTCAACCAGTGAATGAGAGCTACAAGTCTGAATTTATAGAGCTAAAGAAGTGGCTGAAAAACAGGAAGTTTGAAGATAGGAACTTAACTCCTGCTTGTTTTCCAGGTAAAAGTTGTGCTTTAGCTCTGCTGACCTCTCTCAGATGGGAGTGGGTGGAGCGCTCTCTGACAATACATCTGTTGCTGGGTGGTGGGCTTCTTGACTTGTCTACACTCTTTGTGCTTCAACTTGTTGTAAAGATAAATGAACGTGATAGATGAAGGGAAATGACAGAATGATGAAATCAAAAGGAAAAGGAGAATGAGAATATAAAAATAAGATGAAGTCATGGACAGGGGACATAAAAGACACAATTATGATATATTACACACCTGTGGGAGGGGAGCTACAAATTCAACTGAGCCAGGTTCTCTGGTATTGACAGGACCAGTACCGTGACTCTGGGTCTCCTGTGCACTAAATCTAGTTGTCTGTTCAGTGGAAGTGCAGGTGTCCTGGACCCCAACCTGCAGGGAATGCCTAGCTAGGCATCATAGGAAAGATACTGGGTGACTCATGTGCTGGTCACCTTGCCTGTGGTGGTTTCCTGGGATTTTTTCAAGCATGCAGGCTAATGGGATTATCCCTGGCCCCAGTGAGTTGGCATAGTTTTCTGTAGGCAAGGGAGGGGCCTCAGTCTATATTGTCCCTCAGCTTAGTGTCAGGTGTGCAGTTCAGTGTCTTGGAGGAGGAGCTGGTGAATGGCCAATTGATCAGTGCTAGAGGCTGCACAGTCACCTGAGCTGAGGCATTTTAACCTCTGATATGGGAATTGAAGAGCTCATTGTGGAGGTTAGGTTGTAATTTTCTTCTGGAACATTCTGTCACAGAAGTTGGATAGCTTGCTATTAGTGCATACCTGCATACAAGGATACCCTGGTGTGCCCATGGGTGGGCTAGAAATAATGGTAGAATACACCAGGATGCCCTTCAAAGGGACTTGGGGTCTGCCACAGCAGAGAGAAGGAGTTGTGTGATAGAAGGGCCCTGAAATTCTATATCACAGGGCAGGATACAGACATTTTACCTTATAGAAAATGTAAAAGTGTATGTTACTGAATGCTTCCTCTGGCCATTAACATTATCATTCAGTTTTAATTTGACTTTGAGCAAAATAAGTTCCTCTGTGTCTCCCAAGGTAGATGATTTCCGTGTGTGCCTCTGGCCAACTGAAATGATATGTTGTTCCCCAAGAATCAGCCACATGTGGTGAGTTTGGACTAAATTGCTTGATTTGAGTTAATAACAACAGAGAGGGGCTCCAAAACAGTGTAAACAGGAATGGCAGGCCATAGTGAACCACTGGCATGTCCAGGGAGGCAGAGGAAGATAAGGGTTTTTAAAGGTGAATGAGAAGGTTTGGGTAAGATAAATGAACAATTTTTGTTGGCTGTAAGGATCAATAACAAGGGTGGCATCATTCCAAGGTTGAACAGACAATTGCTGGCAGTTATCCTCACAGAAGTATTTTTGTTTGAGGTTGTGGTTGTGGCAGAATCTTTTGTGACAGTTGGTATTGTCAGGCAATCAAGTGTGAGGACCCTTCCTTCACTGCACAAGTTAACTCCATTTTGGTTCTGACAACTTTGACCTAGTTGTTTTGTATCAGGGTTTCTCCTAGCTCTAACAGAATGTTTAATTTTCTGTTTTTGTGAGTCAAAGAATGATCTGTGAAAGCCACTCTGTCAGATTGATTATAATATCATAAGGAGTTCATGATGTTTTCTAGAATAGCTTCCTGACCTCCTCTCCCTTGGGAGTGGAGGGCTAAGGACACCCATCTTCAGCCTTTTGTAATTTTGAAACTCATTTACATTTTTCTTTCAAAATGGGCTCTCTAGGACCTTGAAGATACAATTGAAGATATTCACCTCTTTTCCATGTTTGCTTTCCTAGGTACAGGAAGAGGGCTGATGAGCAGAACACCCCTGCGAGTGAGAACTTCTCTTTTGTCCTTGAAACCTAACACAGATTTTGGTGCTTTGTTTTTGTGGTTCAAATCAAGTGAATCAAAAGTACTTTACTTATAACTATTTCTCTTACGATTCTGTCAGGAAGGGTTAAGTTTGCTTCATATAAAAGACAAAACCAAGTGTCTCAGTGCTTAAAAACAGTGCAGAAGTGTAAGCTGTCATTTAATAAAGCCTAGAGGGGCCAGACCTGTGGCCTTCAGAGGCTCAGACTCCTTCTAGCTCTCTGTCCCTCCCTAAGCCTGTCTAGGCTCCTAGAGCAAAAGGAGGGAGCAAGGGGGAAAGGCAGTGCAGGGATCCTCCCTGGAAGGATGTTCCCAGTGCCCCGCCCCCATTGGCTAGTGTTCTGTTGCTCCGCCTGGCGGCTACTTGGGAGGGAAAAACCTGCTGCCTTTTCTTTGGCCCCTTGCTCTTTAAATGGGACTTTGTTAGGAGAAGAAAGAGAGAAGTCATTTTGGTGTAGGCCTCTCCTAATGCTTCACCACATCAAGGTTTAAAAATCAGGTCATATTGTAGATCTGTGAGGGGTGCTGTTCGTGGTACGGGAGGAGAGCCTGAGCAAGTTGGGGACAAGGCCAGATCCAGGGGTTGCTGCCAACTCTGGGATTGGCAACGAGATTCCAGTCCTTCCTGCTTCTGTTTCCTTACCTGATAAATAAGGAGATGATCTTTAGGTCCCTTTTAGTTTTTCTCTGTGGTATTTTAGAGCATTATGTGATGCATACTTTTCTTTAAAGTTAGAAATTAATTGCTTCCTTTACCTTAAGTTTATCTAAACTTTTTTTTTTTTTTTGGTGCTGTGTATTTTTATATGCAAAGCCTCCCTCAACCCCTGAGCTACACCTCCCGACCCTAAATTTATTTTTAATTCCTTTATTTAATTTGTTTTAAACTCAGCTAAGAAAATGATACCTTTCGATGTTGTAATTCTATTGTGCTGCTTTTATATTTTTTATTTGTTTTCAATTTTTAATGGTGGTAAGATATATAAAACTTAGTTTGTCATTTGGACCATTTTTCATGTACAGTTCAGTAGTGTTAAGTATATTCACATTATTGTGCAATATTTTGTATATTTTCAGAAAGGCATAATAAGTCAATTATGCCTTGACTTATTTGAAGCAGAATTTGAGTAGAAGAAATAGACCTCTCATATATATAGCAGTATCTATAAGTAGTTTTTGTTGAAATTATTAAACGATAATTGGTAGTTGCTTCCCTTGTACTTTCAACTGTGACTTTTTAATTAAACTTTTTGAAAGTAGAGACATTTTACATATAGTGAAATGCACAGATCTTAACTGTATAGCCTGGAGAATTTATTTGTTAAAGAGATATTTACCAATCAAGATATAGGATGTTTTATTTATTTATTTTTTAAAGTAGAAGATCATGGGATGTCTACACTGATCACCTGCTTTATAGATTCAGAAACCATAAATTGAACCCCAAAGAGCTTTAAGATAATTTACTGACTGGTTAAATTACTGATGCTGGTTAAAATGAAAGCAGGCTCTTCTATCTGCTTCTTAGTGCTCTATTTGGTGATTGTTACTGGTTCCATAATGTTGTACACTACCAGTGTCTCCAGTGTCCAGTGCCTGTTTGTTACTTTTTGTCTTCGTTTTTTCTCTCTGTGGTTGTATCTTAGTAAGAGAAACTGCAATGTATACTTTTGCAAGTGGTAGAATGAGAATCTGTGTGCTGGGCTGCCTTCTCTGGCACAGATCTCAGAGATTAGGCCATTGCCTGCTCACTTGGATTTCACTGGATAGTTTTTTTTTTTTTTTTTTTAAGAAAAAGGGGTCTCATTATGTTTCACAGGCTGGTGCCAGACTCCTGGGCTCAGTTGATCCTTCTGTCTCTGACTCCTGAATAATTGAAACTAAGCAGCATGCTGCTGTGTCAGGCTTTGTTGGATGGAACTTTTTTGAGTGGTTTGTGCCTGTGCCCCCAGGTATCACTGGTTCCTCACATAAGAAATTAGAAGAACTATATGGTTTCAAGTGTTTCCATGTTTCCTTCCTGTGCCGGTTTGACAGGTGGGAGTCATTCCCATTCTGAACTTTTAATTCTGTGTGGTTGTTGAACCTAGTGTTCGAGCGGACTCATCTGCTGACTCAGGGAATTGGGAGTGAGCCTGCTGTTGGGCTTATTTGTAGCGAGTAGTAGGGGCTTTTGGGTAGATGATTGCGGGATCAGTGACTTCACAATATGTACAAGTCCATCCCAAAATACTGGTGTCCTAAACTTTATTTTCTTTTTGGCAAGGAGGGACAGATGATTATTTCATTGCCTGAGAGTTGCCTGCTCACCACGGAAACAGTGATTCGAAGCTACTTAGGGGTGTACATTACTAAGTAAGTGGCCACATCATGTTGATCTGGTGCCAGTGCTTCTCCTGAATGCCTTTGTCATGGCAAATGTGTTATCCAAGGCACAATTCAGTAGGATCCAGATGCTTATCTAGCAGATAAATATCTGAACTCAATTGAATGCAAATTGAAAGGTATATTCTGTCCTAGAAATTTATTCTTCATGCATATAAACTGCATTTTGAAGTCTTTAATAATAGACTGCAGGGGACACAGGTGTGAGTCCTTACCCATCACCTAACTAGAAAGTGGAGGTTAAGTGGGACCATATATGTAAATCACAGCCAAGTGCCTTGATAGGTAGCAGTTGTTCCCTTGGTCATAGTAGGTATCCACGGGGGTTAGTTAACCCTTTCTTTTAGTTTAACCCTTATTTTTATGTGCTTGAATTCTTCCTCAACTATGAAGAGCTTTAATATTATGAAAGAATTAATTCTCTTTAGGTATAGAGAGGAGGTGAAGTGGGAGTTAAGAAAGCTGAGAGTATATTCTGGCTCATTTTTGGCAGGCATTTGTTTGGGTGCACCTCAGCGGAAGGAGTTTCTACATTATGGGTTGAAAGGTTGTGCTGTTGCTTAATCCCAAGGACAGCTCTGGGCACCCGCCCTTGCATCTTTGTATTGCCTGACTCGGGGGCAAGGTTGCCCTTAGGGTTAACCTTTTCTCATTCATTCTTTAGTTTTAGGTGGAATGCATCTCAGTATAAGAATCTGGATATTTGGATATTAAAAGATTAACGATAACTTTTTCTAAACACATTCATGCCACATGAGATATTTTATCAGTAATTATTTAACGAAAATTATGTAATTTCTAACAAAGCACGTAAGTTTAGTGAGTGTATTATGATTTCACTCAGTGCCATCCTGTAGAATGCTGGGCAATGACAGAGGTGTTTTATTTTGCATTGTCTAAAATGGTAGCCACTGGCAGAAATGGCTTTTGAGTACTTGAAATGTGACTTACCATACTAAGGAACTGAATTTTAAATATTAATTTAATTCTAAATAAACAGCTATATATACCTAGTGATCTCTATATTGGATGGTATACGTCTAGGTTTTTTTTTCCACCATTTTTTTTTCCCACTGTATTTTATACCCTTATCCAGGTGAAACCAATGGGCTTATGGCAGAAGCTTTCAAACAGGAGAACAAAGTTGGAAGCAAAGAGGTTTTTTATTGATTTTTGTTTTCAAAAACATGTAAAAAATCTTGTAAACAGTCCTGGAATCTGTAGAGTCAGCTTTTCTGACACATAAATGTGACTTTTTGAGGTCCCTGGCCAGGATGTGCTTTGGAGAAGAGCCTTAAGGAAGGAGACAGCTCTTGGGGTGTTAAGTCAGGGTAGGGCCTGTCGACCATTGGAGCACAGTTCTTCCTGCAGCAAACCAAAGTACTTAGCTTATTCCATATTTCAAGTTAGAGTAACTCCTTCAATCTGACCTTAATTTTCCAAGGTGGAAGCCTCGTCCATCTCCTCTGCTGGCTCTGTGCACCTTTTTAGTGTCAGAAAGGCATGCTGGGGACCGGTCTCTCTGGAAGCCTTACTTGCAGATTTTACCCAAGACCTACACCTGCCCTGTTTGTTTGGAGCCAGAAGTGGTGAATCTTCTACCCAAAGCGTTAAAAGCAAAGACTGAAGAGCAGCGAGCCCATGTGCAGAAGCTTTTCACCTCCTCCAGAGACTTTTTCTGTTCCCTGCAGCCTCTGTTTGTAGAGCCCATTGACAGCATCTTCAGCTACAGCGCCCTCCTGTGGGCCTGGTGCACTGTCAACACCAGAGCTGTGTACCTGAGGCCTAGGAAGCAGGAATGCCTTTCCGCAGAGCCGGACACCTGTGCGCTTGCTCCATACCTGGATTTGTTGAATCACAGCCCTCACGTCCAGGTGAGAAGCTGACATGGTGACACATGTCTGTTTTGATAGGAAGATTTCAGTGTGTAGAACCTGGGACTTTGAATAGTGAGCGGGACCAACTGGGAAAGTGTAGCTGACTTCGGGTAAAACCGTGGGACCCACCTGCCTTTCGTGCATTCTGGGTTTTTCTTTTTGACTCCATTGTCCTTCTGGAATGCTTTTTCTTTGCCCTATTTCTCCGCTTTGCTGTCCAGGCCTCAGGAGCCCCGGGCTCCATCCTCTAGGCTACCTTTACCAGCAGCTCGAGTCCTCCTTCCTTCATGCTCCTTCTAGACCGGGGCCGAGGTCTAGCTTCTTTCCTGTCCCATCCCTTTTGCACTTGGTGGCATGGCTGTCAGAGCATTAACCTTTGCTCTGATCACTGAGGGACTCCTCCTTCCTGCATTAAGCACCAAAATCTTTGTGGATGGGGACTTTTTGTTCTCTTTGGAACCCCAGGGCTTAGGGCAGAGTTTGGCGTATAATAGATGTTTGGTAAACTTTTATTAAATGGATGAATATTTGTGGGGAGAGGAGTCAGGAAATCATGAAGAATCCTGCTTTGGGAGATAGCCACAGAGTCACAGATACCCTCTTTCCCTGCCCTTTCCCTTGGTGGCAGGTATGGGAGATGGGTGTGTCTGCAGGGTAAATGGGTATGCTGAGGTAAAGGGCTGACTTTCAGGGTGGAGAGGAGTTCATCAGTGGGCTTGCCTGTGGGTGAGGGGTGCACGAGGGATGCACTGTGCAGGCGCATGGCTGGCTCTGCTTGTGCTCGTCTCTTTATGTGACATGCGTCCACGAGAACATCACAGATGCCAGTGAGAGGAGATTGGGAAGGCCTGCTGTGCTTGCTTAGGCCCAGGACAATGCCTGGCCTGTCCGATTATTACTGTTACAGAAAGATGCTTTTTCCACAGTGTGACCCACAGGGGTCAGGGGTCAGAGGGGTGTTTCTGTTGATATATACGAATAATGCCAGGGTGTGCAGTGCCGTAGGATGCTGGACTTAGGGACTCAGTCACTATCCATTGGCATGACTTTATTTTGATGGGGCTTTTGGTGCATTTATGCTTCAAAGCAGTGATTTTATAGACTACTGTAGGAAGACCACGAACTGCGGCCTGTGGGTGTGTGGCCTGGGTTCCTGAGCTTCTAAGAATGGTTAGTACAGTTTTAAAGGATTACCCAAAAATAACTTATGACAGAGGCCACAACTCAGCTTTTTAGTTTTATATTTAAAATAATCTCTAACAAATTTCCATTCTAGGTAAATGCAGCATTTAATGAGAAGACTCGTTGTTATGAAATTAGAACAGCTTCCGGTTGTAGAAAGCACGAGGAGGTATTCATCTGCTATGGCCCACACGACAACCAGCGGCTGCTGCTGGAGTATGGCTTTGTTTCCCCCTGCAATCCTCATGCTTGTGTTTATGTCTCAAGAGGTTGGAATCAATTTTGCTTTTCTTATTAAGACAATTTTTGTCCCACTTGGATATGTTGTTATTTTGAGTTTTATTAAAAATAGTAAAGCCTTGAAACATACCTACACATCATTTACTTTATCCTGGGTAGAGCTAGCCCTATTCTTTCTAACTGTGCAGTTTCAATTTTGAACTCAAAACAGCAAAGCTTTGGTTGATAAAGTGGATAAGAACTGAGCAGAGTTTTATTGCACTAGGTCAGAGGTCTAAACTGGAAGAAACCTAGACCTACACTGTCCATACAGGGACCACTGGGTACATGGAGCTGTTTCAATTTAAATTGCTTACAATTAAATGAATATTTAAAATTCATTTCTTAGTAAGGCAAGTCACATCTCAAGTGGTTGAAAGCCATTTCTGACTAGTGGCCACCATATTGGACAATGCGAAAGGAAAGGAAGATTTCTAAGGAGATAAGCATAGTATTATTAGATCGAAGGAAATGGAAATATTTGTACTGAAGCCTTGTTACTGAAGATAGGATTAGAAAGCAGGGAATGAAAATGTTAAGATACTGTGTTAATCAAAGAGATAAGTGTAATATGTAATCCTATGTTTGGAGATTAATGCCATGGTTAAAAAAAATTGATTTCACTTGTGTTCTTTTATGGTCTGCTAACTAGCCATTGTCATTGATGATAATATTTTAAAATAATAATTTAGTCATTAAATTTATGATGTGAAAATTCCAAATTTAGTATTTGAAATAGTACTTAGAAGGCTGATTTTTATTTTTCTTCTGAAATAGTAGTGGTGGTTTGGAGGTCATGAAGAAATGTCTAGAGATTTCCCCAGTATATAATTTGAAGTAATCATGTGTAAGTTGAAAGGGACATAGAAATGGTCAAGGTTATACTATGCATCCTTTACACAGACTAATAATACTCCTCAAAATATAAATAAAACAACTAAAATTGGGCCTTGCAGAGTCTCTTGGAAAACTTGCTTTGAGGTTGGCTCATGTTTCAGAATCCTGATAACTTTAATATTGATGGCTATGAAATGATAGTTGTCAAATAAATTAATTTGAAGAAAAATCACATTTTTGTTAAAAAATAAAGAAAGTGCTTTGGGAACAATCCAGTAGTAGAGCACTTGCCTAATATATGCTTTATGCTTTCTACCATAGAAAGAAAAAAACCCTTCTTACCCTGTCCTATTCTCCAAATAACTGTCAATTTTTACATATTTGCATTTTTTTTGGTAATTGCAACAGTCATTATTGTGCTATTTGAATTCTGCCTTTTAAAAACTCTTGTTACAAGACTTCTCTCATGTTTTTACAGAGCCTGTGTTTTGTTGGTTGTGGTTTTCCAAGTTATTACCTTGTCTTAATGACCTGGTTTTGTTCATTGATTGACTTAATGGGAATATGAACTCAGCTTGTGGGTGTTTTGTCCTGAGGCCTTGGAATTCTTACAGTTTTTCAGGGACTAAATAATGATCTCAGTGAATTGGACTTGAAGAGTAGATTTCCTTCGTGTGACTTAGGAAAAACTGTTTATACTTGATCCTAATGGGAAGGAAAGTAAGTGCAGATGGAGAGGGAAGATACACTTTTGTGTGAATTATACCCTAAATTTCTGTATGAATTTTTTTTTTTAATGCAGATACACTTGTTAAATATCTTCCGTCAACTGATAAACAGATGAACAAAAAGATTTCCATTCTAAAGGATCATGGCTTTATAGAGTAAGTGTTTCCCTTTCCCTTTTGAAATTACTCTTTTAGGAAGTTTTCATGAAAAAATTGAGGGTTGGATTTTTCATGAGACACCTCCTAACTCCATCAGCTCACTGGTAGGTGTTAGTTGAGCACTTACTATGTGCAGAAAAGTGGTGCTCACTGTTGTGGAGGAGAGGACACAGGACTAAGACACTTTAAAGAAACTTATTTGAGGGGCTGGGGTTGTGGCTCAGCGATAGAGCGCTCACCTAGCATGTGTGCGGCCCTGGGTTCGATAAAGATAAATAATAAAATAAAGGTATTTCGTCCAACTACAACTAAAAAGAAAAGAATCAAATAAATAAATAAAAAACAAACTTGAACTATTCAATACTGTATTAAAAGAGAGCCCCCTGCCTCTGCCTTGTGGCAAGGCCGGATGGCCTTCAGGAGAACCAGTCACCAGCATCGCGGTACAGGCGCTGGGGAAGGGGTGGTTGGTGGTTCCACACTACATGGGTAGATAGGCCTTTAGGTTCTCCCTTCCAAATTTTCTTTGAGAATAAAATTAAGGTTTAAAATTAAGATAGCTCTCATATAGCAGTTGAGTGAGAGCTATCTGGCTGCTGTAGCATCCAGATTCTTCCATCATTCATCACTGTGAACTTTGTCCTGTGCATCTCTTAACCAAGTTTTGCTTCTTACTAAAAGTGATTGGAAGAATAGCTTTTTATATTCTCTCTCTCTCTCTCTCTCTCTTTGTACCAGGGATTAAATCCAGGGTGCTTAACTACTGAGCCACATCCCTAGACCTTTTTATTTTTTATTTTGAAACAAGGTCTCAATAAGTTGCTTACACAGCTTAGCTAAATTGCTGAGACTAGCTGCAAACTTTCGATCCTCCTGCCTCAACCTCCTGAGCTGCTGGGATTACAGATGAACGCCTGCAGCTTTTTATTCTTTAAAAAAATTTAAAAAGAGAATTTTTTGTTTCTTAGACTTTATTCTTAAGTACTCTTAAGTATTTATTCTTAAGTATTGTTTTGACCAACATCATAGGTAACAATGTTCTAAAAAATGCTCTAAAAAATGTTTGGCTTATCAACCATTTGTCATGGTGTCATGAAATACTGATATGACAGAAATGTCTTTGTTTTTCTACTTTAGAAATTTGACATTTGGATGGGATGGGCCGTCTTGGAGGTTACTCACAGCTCTTAAGTTGTTATGTCTGGAAGCTGAAAAATTGTAAGTTCCACGTGTATTGGTCTGAAGTTGTAGTCACAACCTAGACACAATTTGGGGGTGTTGGCTTTTATTTAAATACCCAAACAGAGAAAAAAGAAAGGCCATTCTGTATGTAACTGACTCATCCAGGGTGTATTTTACCGTTTCAACCGTTTCTGGTTTTAGAGTCATAATCACGTACGTGGCTCTGGAAGTTTTCATTCTCAACTCTTGTGTTTCTCTGCTGGTGACCTGATGGCTTTTGTGAGCAGTGTCACCATTCAGCATCAAGACTCAGAATAGTTCTGCTTTTCCTGGGAGCAGCAGAGCTCCTCACACAGCCCTGCCTGTCAGTTGCCAGGGCAGATCCAGAAGCTGTGTTAAGGAGAGCCCTGGGGTTTTCCATGGGGAGACAGGTGGAGGAGCCCCGGCAGGCTCCCTCGCATTCCTGTGAAGCTGTCAGTGCCACTTGCAGCAGCCTCCTGTCAGCACCTTTGGGTGTGCTCTGCCCAGCACAGGGTTGCTGCAGCCTGGGGCCTCCTCAGGGAAGCAGCCTTCATCTTGCTGCTGCCCAGCATGGTTGGAGGACTTCTTGAAGAGGTGAGGCCTGAGGAATAAATGAATAATGCTTAGAAATTGCTCTTAGCACGGTGCTGGATGTAGTTGGTGCTCACTCAGTGCTGCCTGCTGTGCATGATGCTGCCTTCTTCTCTTCCTGTAGGAACTTGGGAAATAGACGATCTCAACCATGGGCAGCACAGATTTGCACTGTGCAGGTCCTTATTCATGGAATTTTTTGGAAATTTGCAGTAATTTGAAAAACCTTGCAGATGAACTGCATAGCCTACAACTACTTTAAAAGTTAAGAAAAAGTTAGCTATGTCATGAAAACATCAAATATGTATAGATAATAGTCCATTTTATCATTTGCCACCATAAATATACAGAAAGTTAAATTTTATCAAAATTTATGCACAAACATATCAGAAAGATGCAGTTTTAAATCGTAACTGCATAAAATTCAGTGTAGTGGATATTATGTTACTGTAATACCTTTGTATCCCTCCTGTTGCTGTTGTGGTGTTTGGAATGTCTGCTTAAAATTCTGCTGATCATCTCTGCCTGAGCATTTGTCTCTGCAGTAAGTTTTGTATCACAGTAAAAGCCATTTTTCCCAGCCCTTGTGTGTTTTCTGCCATATATGATACACACAGCACACAACATATGTATTAATTGATTATATTATTGTTAAGGCTTGCAGTCAACAGCAGGCTAGTAGTAGTTGAATTTTGGGGGAGTCAGCACTTATCTGTGGCTGGGACAGTGGCACCTGTAATCCCAGCAATTTGGGAGGTTGGGTCAGGAGGATCAGAAGTTTGAAGCCAGCCTCAACAACTTAGTGAGGCTCTAAGCAACTTAAAGAGCCCGTATCTCAAAATAAAAATTAAAAAGGGCTGGGGATACAGTTCAGTGGTTAAATGCCCCTGGGTTCAATCCCTGGTACCAAAAAATATATATATGTGGATTTTTAATTGTGTGTCAGCACCGTCAGCTCCTGAGTTGGTCAAGGGTCAGCTGTAGGTGTTTTCACTCTCAGCAGATGGTGTGTTTTGTTACTGATATGTTTCTTTCTTTTCATTATAAAAGAAAGCTTGGGAATATTTGTGGTCCTCCCAAATGTACAGGCATCCTGATTCATTCCTGACTGTACTGTATTTTTCCTCTTTATTTTTTCCTTTGACTTGTTCTTCCCATTCGTTTGTTTTACATTTATTTTGTTTTGTGCAGACCCATGCAAAAGCATTTTGCTTTGTGAAGTGCGTTCCAAGTTGTCACCATGCAAGTGTTTTTATTTTTATTTTTTAATATTTATTTTTTAGTTATTGGCGGACACAACATCTTTGTTTGTATGTGGTGCTGAGGATCGAACCCGGGCCGCACGCATGCCAGGCGAGCGCGCTACCGCTTGAGCCACATCCCTAGCCCCGCAAGTGTTTTTAAATCCTTCTCAGAACAAGCCAGATATGAGACCTTTTCAGGCACTTCAGCCTAAAGTTAAAGCAACTGGACATTTTCCAGAGGTCATCCTTAGGCCTCTTTTCTTCCCTCAGAGTCACTTCTGGGTCGGGTGCAGGAAAAGCAGGTGGTGGGCTTCTGCCTGTTGGGGGTTTGCGAGCTGGTCGCCTCCCACCCTCTTGTTCTGTCCGGCCAAGGCCTGCAGCTTTCCCAGTTCTCACTTCCCTTGGGTTAGGTAATTGTGAAGATTACATTAGGTAGTGGTCATGCATGGGACACTGTCCAGGCACATGGTAATTTTCTGCTTTCTGTCACAAGCACTCTGTTCCTGAGGCGCAGCCTTGTCTCTTGACTCTGCAGACGTCATGACTCTTCCCTGTCGGGTCTTGTTGCTGTTCTGAGTTTCTAGCTGGCTGTGTCTACGTCCACTTGCACGTTGAGCGTGCCAGTGGAATCTTGTCAGCCGATTCTCCAGAATCTCTGCTTCCCAGTCAGCCCCTCCACCCCCTCTCTCCCTGATGGTGCTCCTTCCTCACGTGTGGCCTTGGCTCTGTCCCCTTCCGGCTCAGTGTCCTGCCCTAGCTCACCTACACTCTTCTGCCTTCAGAAAGTCAGCCCCACCTGCCCACCGAGTTCCACTCCTGCAGACCTGCATAGTGTCTAAGCAGAGTGGCTTTCACGTAAAGAAAGCTGTGGCTGTACCTGTTGAGCATTTTGCTTTGTGAAGTGCGTTCCAAGTTGTCACCCGGCAAGAAAGACTGTCACTTGAAGAGTAGGACGACTCCAGTGCCTTAGCTCCCAAGTCCTCTGGCCTTTCTGCTGTAGACCTGGCTCCCTGTCCTGTCTCTCCCTTCCTCCTCTGTCTCCTGCTTTATTCCCTTGGCTGGTGAGCACGACTCCACTTACCGTGTCCCAGACACAGGGTTGTGATGATGGTAACATCTGCTTGCAGCCAGCAAGGAGCACACAGTCCCCCTGCCTTTTCTTTTTGGCTGCTCCTTTTTGTGCACCTTGTTGCTTCCACACGGGAACTGCCCATGGTGTGAAGGTTTTAGGGAAGCTGCTTATAGAAGGAGTTTAATTATGCTTTGGAAGAATCGGAGGGGACTTTGTTGTTTGCAGTGTGAAAGCTCTTTATTTCTCAAGAGCCTGCTGAAATTACTTTATTGAACATTTTGGTTCTAGTACGTGCTGGAAAAAAGTTCTTCTTGGAGAAGTAATTTCAGATGCAAATGAGAAGACAAGTTTGGATGTAGCCCAGAAAATATGCCATCATCTCCTAGAGGAGAGTTCTGCTATGCTTCAGAGGGTACGTCTTAAGCATTGTGACTGTGTTATTTGTCTTATACATGTTATTAAAGACAGTAGATCTTTTTTTAAAAAAAACATTTATTTTTTAGTTGTGGGTGGACACAATATCTTTCTTTGTTTCTTTTTTTTTTTTAATGTGGTGTTGAGGATCAAACCCAGTGCCTCATGTGTGCTAGGCTCTACCACTGAACTACAATCCCAGCCCGACAGCAGATCTTTTTAAGAGCACGTTTTATGTCTTAAATGTTGTAAATTCTAGGGCTGGGGTTGTGGCTCAGCAGTAGATCCCTCACCTTTTGCACATGGGAGGCCCTGGGTTTGATCCTCAGCACCGCATATAAATAAATAAAATAAAGATATTATGTCCAACTACAACTAAAAAATAAGTATTTAAAAAAATGTTGTAAATGCTAGATTTTACTGTTGATTTTGTACCTACGCCTTTAAAATTTTCCCTTTTAATTGACAGATTAAAAATTGCATATATTTATGTTGTACTACATGATGTTTTGAGATATTCTTATGTATATATATACATATACATATAGGAATGCCTTAATCAAGCTATTTAACATATACATCATCTCATACCTTTTTTTGGTTGTGAGACTCTTTAAAATTTAATTTTTTAGCAATTTTCTTTTTCTTTTCTTTTTTTTTAAGAGAGAGAGAGAGGGAGAGAGAATTTTTTTAATATTTATTTTTCAGTTTTTGGCAGGCACAACATTTTTGTATGTGGTGCTGAGGATCGAACCTGGGCCGCATGCATGCCAGGCGAGCACGCTACCACTTGAGCCACATCCCCAGCCTTTCTTAGCAATTTTCAAGGATGCATACTGTTAGTAACTGCAGTCAGCATGCTGTACAGTAGATCTCTGATCTTTGCTAGGTGACTTTGAAGGTCTCTGGAGCCTACTCTTGTTTAGCTTGGGTGTTGTATCCCTTGACCAGTGTCTCCCCTGTCCCTCACTTCTAGCATCTTCTGACACCATTCTGCTCTTTTTCTGTGTTCAACTTTTTTCTATCCACATATAAACAAGAACTTATAATTTTTGTCTTTCTATTCCTGGCTTATTTCATTTAACATAATGTCTTTCATTTAGTGTAATGTTTGTCTGCGTTGTCACAAATGACAGGATATCCACCTTTAAAAAGTTTTTTTTTAGTTATTGATAGTCCTTTATTTTATTTGCTTATTTATATGTGGTGCTGGGAATCAAACACAGTGCCACGTGTCCAAGGCACGTGCTCTACTGCCGAGCTACAACTCTAGCCCCCAGGATATGCACCTTTTTTTAAGACTGAATAGTATTCCATTGTGTACATACTCCGTGTTTTCTTTATCCATTTGTCTGTAATGGGCACTCAGACAGATTCAGTGTCTATGCCTGTACATTTAAATAGGTAAAAATTGATCACATGATTTCTTACTAATAGGTTTTCTTTTATGTTTTAACTTAGTATTTTAAGTAAATGAGAAATCAGCTCATTTATATGAAAATGTGACTGGGATTATAAAAAGTAATTTTAAGGAACCTTGAAGACATTATGCTAACTGAAAAAAGTCAGACACAAAAGGATATATGTAGATTCTACTTCCATAAGGTATTCAGAACAGGCAAATCCAGAGTGACAGAGTAGAGTGCAGGTTACCAGGGGCTTTTGGGAGCAAGGACTAAGGATGCTAATGTGTAGTCTCTGGGGTGACAGAGAGTCGGAGAGGAAATCACGCAGTGCCACTGAACTATACGCCTAAAATGGCTAAAGTGGCAAATTTTATGTTCTATTTTACTACAGTAAAAAATAATTTAAAACTCACTTTCAGGTTTCTCACATGAAGGATGAAAAGGTGTCTTTGGTAAGCCAGCTGGCTTTGGTGGAAACACTGTGGCGGGAAGAGCTGAAGGTCCTCCAGGCCTCCGCTGAGACCCTCGCCAGCGTGCACACCTCTTACCTGGCCTCCCCCAAACGCCTGGGGTCACCTCCTGTGGTGGGTGTGACTTAAGCATTTTTAAACTAAATTGGATTAAACGGATTTTATCTCAGCTGTTTGCAGTCTCTGAGTGGTTTGTATTCTAGCCCATGCCCTTAGTCCTTCCCCTGTAAACACTGAGCTTTTAAGATCAGGTGTTCAGGTGGCTGCTCCTGGGGTGTGGAGCAGGGGCAGAAGAGTTCTGGGAGCTGGGAGTGAAGACATATCCGCCATCTGAGTGGCACCTCTCATCCACTACAAAATAAACAGCAGTGCCAAGGGAAGAGGGCGGGGAGGGCCTGAGGGAGCTGGAGCCATGCTGGAGCCAGCCCAGACTCCGGCTCTGTGTGTGGTCCGTCACTGTGTGTCCTGCTTTGTTCTGACTCAGCAGAGGGAAGAGGCCAAGAAGTTGTGCTTTTAAGATGCTCTGATACCATCGGGTTAAGGGGCAAGTTGGTGGCGGGTGTGGGGGTGCGAAGCAGCCGTGGGTCCCAGCCAGGGTTCCTCAGGCCTTCTGTGTGTGGAAGCACCCGATGGGTGTTGAGAAGCCTTCCTGGGGGCATGCAGGGTCTCCAGGAGGACAGACCCCCCCACTGCTCCTGGCCCCTGATGACTGAGGCAGGCTTACTCGGGAGTAATCAGGAGGATGCCTGGCTGGCCTGCGGCTGTCTGTCTTCCTCGCCATCTCTCCTGGGCAGGCCTTCACCAGGGGAGCTGCTGTGTAGCTGTGCCTCAGTGGGGTGTCTACTTGATCCTGGGGCTCAATGGGGGACAGTTGGCCCCTATCCTTACTTTTGGTTTTATTTTTTAATATCTTTTAGGTCCAGGGCAGGGAGAAGGGCCTTTGTCTTTGGCCTTATGGGCCTTCCAGTGTCAGTCGGAGAGCCAGGACTCACAGAGGTGTGCCGTGGCCTGTGCAGGGGACGCCCCAGCAGACACTGCACTCAGAGTCCTGTTCTCTTCCCTCCAGTGTTCCTTCCCCAGAGTGCCAATTCCTTCTCCTGTGGAACTCGGCAAAACCAAGTGAATGGCTTCCTCCTCGGAGGTCAACATTTTCAGGATTCCGTTTTGAACCTATTTCCCTGTTTGCGTATGCAGTTTGTGTTAATTTTGTTTTGTAATGGCTGTGGTATATTCCATGATCCACTGTACTGGGGGTCAGAACACTCCCACTTTAGTGGGCAAAATGGTAAACATTTTAAGTTCAGGCTCATACAGTCCTAGTCCCAACTCTACTGCAAAGCAGATTTAGATCAATGTGTAAGCAAATTGCAAGACTGTGCTCCTAGAAAACTATTTAGAAAGACGGGCAGTGGGCTGTAGTTTGCTGACTCCCGTGTTATTCCAGAATTTCTTCTTCTGTCACTTCTGGGGGATCTTTTGGACCTAATACATCACTTCCTTTATACCTTTCAAAGTGAAAGCCCTCCTGAGGCTTAAAAACTTTGCAAATAATGCTTGGTAATTATTTGCTCGGTCATTAGGAAAAGAAACATACAATGACAAAAAGCAACTTCTCAGACACATTTATAATTGAAAGATACTTTTTATCAGCTACAACTGATCTACATTTATTTGAAGAATGGTAGCATAAGACTTTTATCTTGAAGGCAGTGCTTGGCATATATATGAAGTCGCAGACGTCTGTCAAGTACTCTGGCCTCTGTGGGGTGATCTGTGGTCCACAAGGTAAAACCACTGGATCCAGGGGAACCCTCTCTGCCCCCCCTCTTCCACTGGGGTTGTGGCTCAGCGGTAGAGTGCTCACCTAGACGGTGCAGAGCCCTGGGTTCGATCCTCAGCACCACAAATAAATAAATAAATAATTGTGTCCAACTGTAAATTAAAAAAAAAACCAAAAAAACAAAAAAACACTGTGATCAAGGCACAAGCCTCTCTCCCCGCAGAGAGTGGGAGGTGCTCTTTACCCAGTGGCCCCCGACCCCTCCACCAACCTCCCTATAATTTTTCTTCATTTTTGGTTTTCTCTTTGCAGGTGCCTTAGGCAGGCATGAGGTTCCCAAGCACTCCACCCCTTGCTGGTGTTGGGTTACTGAGTTGGTGGGTGGTAAAACTCCACTGCTCACCTGGCCTGAGGGGACAGACACCAGAAAATTCTGGGTGATTCCAGGCATTCATCTTATAATCTTTCAGCTAAAATTAGCTGTGGCCCTCCTCAGACGGGGGGCTATAAGTGCTTCTGTGTGAAGGTGGGGACTGGCAATGACCTTTAGGAAGTTGGAGTACAGTTCTGGGAAAACGGCTTTCTCGCTGAAGCACTGGGCACTGCTCTGAGGGCTGCCAAGGTACAGAAGAAGGGAAGTTACCTTAGTTCCTCCGTTGGTGGACAACAACCATGTCCTGTGTGACAGATGAACGTTGGGCCGTAGGTTTTGCCCAGGGGGAAGGTAGAGCAGGACCCGTACTGTTGATGGGTTGACTGCTGAACTTAGGAGCTTTGTCACGAGTGCCACAGGTTGGGTTACTTGGGAAAGAACTTCCCTTTAGGATCCAGAAGGTCACATATGAACTCAAGGGAACAAGAGCATTAGGAGGGAAGGAGGAGACCTGGTGCCCTTTTCTACAGCCCAGCCAGTGACCCCCATACCCAGCACCAGGCCCTGCACATCACAAAGCCAGCACACACACCATGCCTGCGTCCCCCCGGCAGCAGCCATCGGCTCCCAGATGCTGGTCACCCTCCACCTTCCAGAGGGCATTTCTGTCTTCATCATTTTTATAACTTTAATTTCCTTCTTTCTGTATAGTTTTAATATTAGGCTGCATGTGAATTTATTTCTGGCCATAATCAAAATGATAGATAGCAATAGTGTTGTCCAAGAGGTGGGGAATTGGAGGCTCCTCCCCACTGGTGGGAATGCAGAATGGTGCAGCTACTTCAGCAGAGGGTCTGACGGCTCCTCAGAAGGACATGCAGTCACCTCGTGACCCACCAGCACCACTTGACACATATTTCCTGGGTGTGTGTGTGTGAAAACTGTCTAGAAAAACTATTCGTGGCAGCATCATTCCCCAAAGCCGGAAGCCCCGATGTCCACTGGGGATGACGGGATGAGCAAAACGTGGCCCACCATGAAACGTCCCATGGGAGGAGGAAGTGCCAGCACTGTGGCAGCGAGGGCAGCCTCGGAGGCGTGGAGGTGGAAGAGTGCCACCGTGAGAGACAGCAGTGATCTCATTTATATAAACTCCAGGAGAGACGCATCTGCAGACAGCAAGTGTCCTGCTAGGCGCTTAGGCTGGTGAGCGGGGGCCGCAGCAAATGCAGCTGGTCGCTCTAGATGGGGGGTGTCTGGAGATGTTTTGAAATTGGCTGTGGTGACGTTTGCACACCTCTGTGAAACTACCAAAACCCACTGTTGAGTTGTGTACTTTAACTGGATGCATTTTACGCTATGTGCATTATATTTCAATAAAGCTGTTTAAAGTTAAGTTAGCACCTGGGAGTTACACCGCTTTTTCACTTTCAGGAAGGAAGCCACGGCAATGTTAGGCCCAAACCCCACACGTTCCGTATATCGCCTTGTTTAGCTTCACAGTGGGTCATCAAGGCGACATCCTCCTGATTTTGTAAATCTTGGAACAGGAATTCTGAGGTGGCACCAAGCTGAGTGGCAGGCCCCGGGGGATGAGCCTCCTGCTCTTGGTGTCGCCACAGACAGCCTTGGTGAGGGGCGCCTGAGTGCTGTAGGCAGGACTGGCTGGCTTGGGGGTGTGTTGGGAAGGCTGAGGGCACCGGTCCTGCTTACTAATGATCTCTCCCTGCACAATCACAGCCTGCTTTTGATAAATAAGCTTATCAACATGTTGGGAGTCTGTCTGAAGAAATGACAGTCCAAGCTGGGTGCGGTGCCGCACGCCTATAATCCAGGGGCCTGGGAAGCTGAGGCAGGAGGTTGCAAGTTCAAATCTAGCGTTAGCAACTTGGTAAGCAATTCGATAAGACCTTGTCTTAAAAAAAAAAAAAAAAAGTAAAAAAGAAACAACAGCCCACTTTTTGAATTTTTAGCCACACTTTGTAGACAACTCAGTGGGCAGTGGCGCCCAGGGTTATGTAGGCAAGTCAGAGCCATGTGGGGTGAGGTGGAGGTTCCCCCATCAGGCAGGTGGAGCCTCTGCTCTGATCATGAGCACTTCAGAGCAGCTCCATGCTAAAATTTACAAACCACTGAGTAGAGATGGCAGGGAAGAGCCCCAGGATTTTAGTTGGTGCTTTTGCGGACTCTTGATATGTAGCATTAGGCAAACTTACCCTGAGACCCTGGGGATCAAGGCCAGACCTCCAATACCTTTAACATCAGAGGACTGAGGCCAAGGTTCTTGAGATCTTCCACTCTGACCTCCTCATTTCATGGTGGAAGCCTCAACAAGTTGAGAAATGTGCCCAGGGCCAGAGATTTATCAGAGCCTATGTTTTTAGCCAATTCCAGTGGACTTTCCCTTCTGTATCTTCCCTCCAGACAGATCCAGATGCCTCAAAGTTCCCCAAATGAGAATCCTCTGTTGAAGCACCAGAAAGTTTGAGCAAAGCCGTGGATGGAGGAAGGGGTGGTAGGCCACACCCAAGAAGAGGGGCAGCACTGTCAACTCCTCCCTGGACTTCCCCTGTGTTTGTGTCCATCCTCATTTAGTGTTTGTTCTTTGTTTTTGTTTTTGGCAGGGGTGGATGGGTACCAATTTGAAACTCAAGGGTGCTTTACCACTGAGCCACATCTTAGCACTTTTAAATATCTTACTTAGAGACAGGGTCTCGCAGAATTGCTTAGGGCTTTGCTAAGTTGCTGAGGCTGGCTTTGAACTCACGATCTTCCTGCCTCGGCCTCCCAAGCTGCTGGGATTACCATCGCACTCGGCTCCTCATTTAGTTTTCACAGCAGATCTATGGGGTGAGCATTACATCTTACATTAGATGAGAAGACCCTGAGGCATCTAGGGGTCAAGTGACTTGCCCCACATCATACAACGAGGATAAGAACCTGGGATTGTCAGTGATACCTGCTTCTGCCTTCAGAGACAGGAAGTAGAGGGTACAGGTGGGGTCTGGAGTATGCC